TCCCTGTTGAGGGAGACCGGCTCCCCAGGACCCGAGCGGGGTCTCTCAGCTCTGGGTGCCCGTCACTCCATGGCCAAGCACCAGCAGGCCACAGGCAGGGAACTGTGGCTGCCTGGAGGAGGACTCTGGCCAGGGGAGGCCCCCACGTGTCTCTGCAGACCGCACTCCACGCCGTCCACACGCCCGCATTCTTCCGGCCAGGCTGCCTGGAGCCCGGCAGTCAGTGTTTTCACCTCCTCTGTTGCTAAGAGCCAGAGCACCTGTATTTTCATCAGCTGACGATTTTCACAAAGTTAGAGGCTACACCAGGTTTTACAGAGCTATATGACAGAATATGCAGCCAGGGAGGTCCCCGGGCTCCCAGGGGACCAGTAATCCAACGACACTGCCCCGTTTCACGATCCCTGGCCGGGCTCAGGTTCCAGCCACTAATCATCCTTCTCCCCCTGCACCCCACCAGCGCCAGGGCTGCCCTTTCCCTGGGCAAAACCACGACTGACTCACTATGCCCCTCCTCGGCACCCACAGCCAGCAGACAGCATGGCTGGGAAGGTGCTCACTGCTGTGCCAGCTGGGACCATCAGTCACCAGCTCCCACACTGGACACCTCACTAATAGTCCATCACCCGTCTACTCCTGGAGGGCAGGATCCTCTCCACCCCCAGCATCAAGCACGGTTCCTGGCACACAGAGGTGCTCAATAAATACCTGCTGGTAGGTGGCATTCCCTGCAGCATGCAGAGAGCACCATCTGTGTGCTCACAGTGTGGCAGGAGCCCAGGCTGACTGCAGTGCCCAGAGAGAACGCCACAGCTCTGCGGAGGATCAACCCTCTCACAACTAACCATTCTAATGTCCTGGGGCCACTTGGGTCCCAAACCTGTGAAGCCTACATTCTTACTGTCTGGGAACCTCACCTGCCCATGACCACGCCCAGCTGTCCCTTGTCCCCTGCATCTCCTTGGCTCCCAGGCTGTGCGTGCAATCCCACCCACCACCACACACAGCCTCACGGCCCCTGCAAAGCTGGCTGGCGATGCTCCCCAGCTTCCAGTGTGCCCACAGCTTCTCAGACCTGAAGCCGTGGAGGCAGACAGCGGCTGCGTGTCAGGTTCACATGCCGTCACCCTGCACGTCCCCAGGCTCTGAATCCACAGACTCAACCATGTGCCGTGGAAAATACTCAAAAGAAAGTTGCATCCACTGAACATGTGGGTTATTTTTCCCGGTCATTGTTCCCTGCATGACACAGTGTCACGACTCTTTCCACAGCACTGTCAGTGCAAGAGGCCTAGAGATGGTGTGAAGCACACAGCAAGATGTGCAGAGGCTATATGCAAACACTATGCCACTGTATACCAGGGCCACTGTATACTCGGCCATTCTGACACCAGCATCCCGGGGGCAGGGTTTGGGACCCCATGATGAAGAGGGGGGACTTCTGGTCCCTGCTCTCTGTCTCTGCCACTCCAGCACCTGCCTCTCTCCTTCCACCAGGAGAACCAGCCACAGGCCCAACATTTATAGAGCGCGGAGCAGCCCCGCGGCCCACAGCCCCCGTGGGTGTTTAGCTGAAGTTGGGAATTATTAAAGCTGAACTGAACTTACAACGTGGCTCCTCAGTTTCCTGGTCACACTGTAGTACTCATCAGGCACAGGTGGCCGCAGCTGGCCCCCTGAGTGCAGACAGAGCTCTCCCAGGCTGGGCGAGGATGGCTCCATCTCCGTTGTTTCAAGTGCAGATGTTATGAATGACTTCACAGCGCTGACCCAAGTCCTTCCTATTTACGGCATGTGACGTACCACGAATATTTTATTTTCGTTTGCAACATGAAGCTAATTTCCTCTCAAAAAATAGTTATTTAGGCAAAACTAAAGAAAAAACTGACTTAAAAAAATTAATAAAACTTAGAAAAAATGGGAAGAGTAAATGAACAGGCGGCTGCAGACACGGCAGGTACCCAAGGGGCCTGCGAGTGACACCGGTCAGGAGAGGCACGCCTCACAGCCTGGCCGGCCTGCCCGACTGCTGTGGGGCCACCTCTGCCCTGCTCCCCGTCAAGCCCCTCACCCGCCGGCACTCTGCTGTCTGGAGCCCAGGGAGCTCCCCACAGTCACTCTCCTGCCTCCTCCTTGTGGCCACGGCAGACCCAGGTTCCAGCAAGGAAGACCCCATTCACTCCTGCCCTGAGCCCGCAGGCCCTCCAGGGAAGGGCTGCACCCCTCCACTCCTCCCCGGGTCCCAGGGCCTAGCAGGGGCCTGGACAGGACAGCCCTGAGAGCCCTGAAGCCAACAGCAGAGGGGAGCAGCACAGTACAATCCCAAACGGGCTGCAGAGCCTCCGGGAGCAAGGGCATCACCAACGCCGCACTGCACCCCGGGGATAAGCCCATCCCCCCGAGGCCCACGCCAGGAGGAAGTCGGGGTTCAAGGAGGGTGGCTGCCACTGTCCTGGTCTGCAGTGGGCCGCTCAGGGCAAGGCAGACAGCACTGGGCCAGGCCACGGAGGCTGAGCACAAGTGCAGCTCAGCCCTGCGAGCTGGGGACTTGAGCCAGCCCAGGCTCCCCCGCAGCCACGTCCTCACCTGTGAATGGGCTGGTGATAACACTGCCACTGTCCTCAGCTCTGCCATGAGCACCCAGTGGTGGAGGGGGCTCTCTGTGAGCTGTGGAGCAGTGCCAGGAAGCCCTCTGGGTCTCACCAACCCCATTTGCAAACCTGGAGTGTCTGCATTCAATTCTCCTTAGCTTCTTTTCTTTCTTTCTTTTTTAAAATGTTTTCACCAGTCCATGATAGTGGGGTTTATTTTAATAACTGTGGGGTTCATTTTGACATATCCATGAATGCATACAACAAAATGTGCTCCACTTCAACAACTGGTACCTCCCCTTTCCCTCCCCTCCTCCCTCACCTTGAGCCCTTCCTTCTATTAATTCTTTATTTTAATTGGCACTTTATAGTTATACATAAGAGTGCAATCCATCCTGCCTCATAGACATGCGCACGGCATCGTTTGGTCAGTTACACTGGGACGTCAGTCAGTAGTTCCAGACTTGGCAGTGGGCAGTGGTTCCTGGTCTTCCAGGACTGACCCCTCCCACACCTAGACACTGGGCTGGGCAGAGATGGAGGCCTCCAGCACCAGGGGGGCATGTGAGTCTAGTCTGGCCAATCAGAGCATGGCATTCACCCTCCCTCAACAGTGATTGGTTCAGAGAGAGCCAGGCCCAATCAGAACCAATAGGGTGCCATCTAAGGTGCTCCTGAGAGAGTTTGAGAGCTGGTCTCTTTTCTCCTGGACTTTCACTCTGGCACTCACATGGAGCCTGAGACCGGAGGCAATGAGCAGAGAGCCGCACCCTAACACCGCTGGAGCCCCAAATCCACCAGTGTGGAAGCTCTTTGTGGTTATATTGGTCAGTAAAGGCCGTGCTCACAGCAGCTGGAGTGAGGCGTCCTGACCCGGCAACAGCAAGTCCCACCAACCAATGCTGTGAGCACCAGGGATGGCAGGCCTGCTGGGATTTAGCCTGGGTGGAGCATCTGGGCCGCCCAGCCCCTCCACCCAGCCAGATCTGAGCTTTCACCCCTCCCAATGTCCCAGCCTGGAGTCCTCCCGAGCACCCATCCCCACCTCCACCCTCCATGCTGGAGAGCAGGAGCAAGGAGGCAGATGCTCCCAGTACCATGGAGCTGACTGTGTGTTGGGCCCAGCCTGAGGGGCTCACAGACTGTATGTTGTGGTCCTGTGAGGAGGGACCACAGAGCGGGTTGAGGCTCACACAGCCCCCCACGTGTTGCCAAGCCCTCCTGCTGGGCCCAGGGCCCCTCAGAGGCTTTGCTTACAGCTGCTCCCAATTCTCTTCCTGCTGGACGAGTCTCCCTGCCCAGAAGCCATTGTTACCCTCTGTCCTTCCTCTAACCCCCAGCCTGCTCCCTCCTGCTCCCCCTCTCCCTGCTGGCCAGTCCTGGTGTCTGCTGGAGGAACACTGTCCAGCCAGGCTCACAGTCCTGTGGGAGCTCAGCCGTCTGGACCCTGGGGACCAGCCCTGACAGGCACTTGGAGACTCAGTTGCACGAAGGTCCCAGGGTGCCCATCTCCCATCACCCCCAGGTGGCCGCTCCCACAGAGGGCAGTCAGAGTGGAGGCTGGGTGAAGAATCTGAGCTGCAGGGCCTGGGTTTGCTGTCGGCTTAGAGCAAGTGAACCTGGGCTCTGTGACTCAGTTCTCTCATCTGGAAAGGGGCTGGTGACCATGCTGGTGACCATGCCTGCCTCCCAGGGCTGCTGTGAGGATGACCTGAGTGCAGAGGGGAGGCCATGCAGCGTGGGAGGCCAGAGCCCCTGGGTAGCACCTCACTGGGGCAGCATCACGAATGGTCTTTAGCACAGTGACCTCCTAGCAGCCGCCTGCCCTGTCCACCACCACCCCCGGGGCCAAACCTCACCCCTCCCCAGGCTGACATTCATGGATCAAGGGTCCTTCCCTTTTCAGGCAATGTGAGCCAGTCATCACTCTTGACCTTCACCTGCTCTGACCCAGGACCACTGAGTAGAGGTTCTCCTGGCCCCCACTCCAGCTGAGCTTCTGCTCCCGGGTTGTCCCTCTAAGCCCTGGAAAGGCCCTCGGTTCTGCCCATCACACATGGATACAGCCTGCCTCAGACCCCAAGAGGAGTCTGCAGGAGCTTCCAGGAGGGTCAGGCATCCTCCTCCAGGACAGATGAACCCTGGGCCCTTTGCCCTCTTTGCTGTCCCAGAGAGGCCCCAGGAGGGTGGGATGCTGGCCACTCTAGGGGAGGGGAGAGGTCAGATGTGACCCTCAGTGGCCATGACTTTAAGGCTTTCATTGAGTCTATCTGGGCTCATTCTGGGCTCATGCACACTGAGCCAGAGGTGCTTCCATGAAGAAGTTAAGCAAAGCAGAGGCCCCCAAGCCTGCCTGTGGCCAAGCCAACAGCCCTGAAGCCACCCCCATGGGGCCCCTGGCAAGGATACTGAAGCTCCTGTCGGTGATGGCCAGGTGCCAGAGGTTGATGCGGAGGTCGTCCGCAGACATGTACGTCTCACAGTCGCTGTTGACAGAGATGGAGTTGATGTGGTAGGTGTGGCCATTGGCGAAGATCCTGCGTGGGCTCACCTCCACCATCAGGTCCATGGGCTTCAGCACAGGCACCTGCAGGGCAGGATGGGGATCAGAGGGGCAGCAGGGAGCAGGTGCAAGTGGCATGGCAGGGCACACGATCTTAACAAGAGGCCACAGCACTCGAGGGGCCACCATCCTGATGCTGCACTGTCTGAAATGAGCAGTGACAGATGGCAAGGTCCCTCACCTGCCCAGCCCTGCAGGAGAGGCTTCCTCCTTTACATAGGCTCCTGGGATGGGTTCTGAGCCCTGGCCTGAATGCACTGTGTCTAAGTGGCTGAAGAACCCCTCTGCACCAGACTTTCCCATCTCTAAAATGACATGGAAGATAGCATGGCAGACCAGGCCACTGTCCACCAAACTGCTCTACTTTCTGCAAGAACATCACTGGGAAGTTTCTGCCCACCAGGGGACTACATTTCCCAGCTGCCTTTGCAACCAAGTGTGGACTCGTGACTGATCCTGACCAATGAGATGTCAGCAAAGTGATGCGCGTGCTCCTGGGCAGGTGGTTAAGCAAGGGTGTGCCTTCTGGCCTGGCAGTGAGGACCCAGGCCTTGAGGGATGAAAGAGGCTGCAGGATAGCCGCGCACCATCAAGGTGCCTGCACACTGACCTCCTCACAGCAAGGAACACAGTTCCCTGTCCAACCCTGAAACACTGGGGCTCTCTGTTACAGCACTGGAGCCTGACTCATCCAAACCCATCTCCACGTCAGAGTCCCTACAGTGGCCCTGGCCACAGTCTGTGCCTTGTGCCGAGAAGGCTCAGCCACATTGGACTCCTAGTTAACCCTGCTTCCTCCCGCAAGACCAGAGTCACACTTCTGAGGCTGAGACTGCCCCCAGGGATGTCCCTGTCCCTCATGTCCCCAGCTCACTGCCCACAGTGGGGGGCACTGCAGTGCATCTTGGGTGCAGCTCTGTTCAACTATGAGGTCTCCAAAGGTGGCCAGCCAGTCAGCTATGAGCTATCCCAAGGCCTGGCCTAGGCTGGTAAAGGAAAACCAACCCCACCCTGCTTAGGCTGCCAAGGCCCCCTGGAGTTCCCATAGCCTAAGGCAGCTTGAGGTTGTTGTCTGCTCTCCTCTTTCCCCAGGGAATTGGGGACCAGTCAGGGTGTGATGTGACCTTCTCTTATTTGTGTCTAGTGCTGGGTCCAGGCCCAGCACAAGAGGCCCTCTGGGGAGTGAGTGAGTGGGTGGGTGGGTAAATGAATGAGTGAATGATAGGCTATGTTCCTGAGCTCCCAGGGACCCTGGGGAGGACAGGGACAGATGATATTGGAGTGAGTGACAAGCACCCGGCTCCTTTGATGCACATGCAGCTTTGCAGTCCCCGCTCAGTGCTCCCACGTCCAGGGGCTGCGTGAGCATCAGGTGTGAGGGTAAAGGCTCTCCCAGCCTATGTGTCACTGTCACGGTCCTCATGGCAGTGACTCTGCGTCTGGGAAAACTTTGGGGGCAGGGAGTGAGTCTTAGCTGGGACTTGCTTTGGGGCTCAGGACCTGCCCAGCACGTTGGCTCCTCCAACAGGATTCACAGGTGGCAGGAAGCCGCGGGGCTGAGCGGCTCAGGGTCACGGGAAGGGGGAGGTAAAGAAGAGGCAAGTTCAGTCTCGTCTCCAAGGCTGTGATCCGGGGCCACTGCCCTGCCTGGACGCCAGGCCAGTGAGACGCGACCCTCCTGCTTCCTTCTGGATGACACCCAGAAGCTTTTCTGGGCAGGGGGCGTCATCCCCCATTGTGGACACCAGGTAACTGCCTCCCGGCTTCCTCAGGATCTCTGTGCACTGTGCCAGTCACAGAGGCCCGCGTGTCTGAACGACCCGGTGACCGCTCTCCGTCTCTCCAGACCCCCGGTGCGGGGCGTGCGAGCACCTGCTAAGCCTCTCCAGGACGGGGTGCGGGAGGCCGGGTGGCAGGCCCTCCACCCACCAGGTCTGCATGAGGAAACCGAGGCACAGAGCAGGGAAGTGGCCGCGGCCACCAACCAGCTGTGGGTGAGTGTGTCTGGGAGCCTGCGGGGCGCCCCAACACCAGGCCTCGAATTAGGAGGCTTCTGGATGGGAGCGACAGCCCTCAGTTGCCGAGGAACCAAGGGAGATGGGATTCCAGGCCCCGGGGAGCTGCTGGGCCTCCCGGGGCTCGCCCTGCTCATTCACCGGCATCTCAGGTCACTTCCTCTGAGCAGCACTTGACCCAAGGCCTGCATTGACTGAGGCTTCCCAGTGCCCAGAGCAGAGCAGGGGACAGAGGTGTGTCGAATGGATAGAAGTGAATTCGCTGTGTGAGCATCGATTTCATCAGTGGACGGTTCTGGAAGCCAGGGACAGACCAGGGGGCTCCGCTCCCCCTGCCCTGCTTCAGGAGGAAAGGGACCGTTAGTCTTGTCAGCATGACGTTGCTAACCACCCCACGGCTCTGCTGGGAGCAGGGACCTCGCTCCTGCTTCGTGAAGGACCAGGAAGCTGGCTCTGGACAGCCTTCCAGGCTCGGGTCCCGGCTGTCTGCCTGCTCGTCTGTGAGATGGGACGGTGGGAGCAGAGCCAGCCTAAAGGATCTGGTGAGGGCTGAGTGAGCTCTTGTGACAGCCCCGTGGTGACAGTGCTTGGGAGACAGGCTCACTACTGAAGCGTTTGTTCTTGCTGCAGATGAGGACTCCGAAGCTGAGGGAGGCTCGGTGCCTCGTCCCAGGTCACGCTGCCAGGCAGTGGCAGAGGTGGGGTGGGAACCCTCCTGTGGCTCATGCCTTCCATGCCTCACTAACTTCCTGCTGAGGAGAGGAGACCTTTTGCCTTTCAATCATGCTGGACCAGCCTGTGCCTTGGAGTGGCTCTGCCTGACCTCCTTGGTGACAAGTGCCGCCTGGCCAGCTGGGCCTTGTAAGTGCTGGGGCTCGGCTCGCCCCAGCTTCCCAGTGCACCATGGCGGAGGCTTGGGGGCAGGGCTCAGCTGACAGGTCCTCTGCTCTCCTTCCTCCAGCTGAGTGCCTCGGCGCGAATGCTGGCCCTCTGGGGTCGCAGTGCCCCTCACCTCCCAAGGCAAGCTCTGGGGGCTCCTCCTCCTCCGTCCTAGATGAAAAGCACCTTGGAGACCCACGTCCTCATGCAAACCCGACCTCCAGGAGGAGGGTCCTCTCCTGGTGAGGAACTGAGGCATGGGGCAGAGAGCTGGCCATGGCCACCCAACAAGGAAGCAGTCCGGGATGTGACCCTGGCCCTGGCTCAAACCTCAGTGGCCCTTCAAGTCCAAAATTTCTCATGGCTTAAAAGAGGAAGCATGGACATGCTCCCCTTCCTGGGACCACCTGTGGAGGCCACTCACCTGCAGCGACGTCACTGTGGACAGGTCCTTAAGCTTCCCTTCTTCGTCTTTCAGGTTGTAGCCCTCAGGCCTCTTATCTCGTTCGGTAATCTTCCATAATTTGATAGTTTTATCTTTAGGAACAGAACAAAGGAAAACGAGACACAGAATCAGCCACCAGGACAGGGGCAGAATCTCCAGGACAGCCAGCTCCGCATGAGGCGCTGAAGGCACCTCTCGTCACCCTGTCCACGGTCAGGGGGTCCTGCGGTTCACCTGCACTGACGCGGGGAACCTGCACGTGGGCGCTTGTCCATATTCTGTTCTGTCCTCGTGACTGGTCCCAAAGGTGGCACGGCTGGGCCAAGGGCGTGACCCTATCGAGCCTCCTTATCTGCCTCTCCACTCGTTTCCAAGGCAGGACCACCGCTCTGTCCCCCTCTTCAAAGGCCCTCACTGGCAGGGAGAGAGGGCGGCTACCTGCTCTTCCTGAGTCGCACCCTGCTGTACGGAAGCCCCCAGCCGCTGAGGCACGAGGCCCCTGCTGCTGCCCCAGAGTGAACGTGGCCCAGCAGGCACTGGTGGCACCTGCAGCAGGGGCAGGGGTCCTCTTCCTGAGGCAGAACGACAGAGGCTCCTAAGCCAGTCTGCTCTGACTGCCACTGTACGCCTGCAGCACAGCAGTTGTGGGGTGGGCTGGCAGCCAGGCTGGAGGGTCCACCCTGTGTCAGCTGCCGCTGGGTGTCCTGACCTGGACCCTCGTCTGAAACATCAAGCCCCCTCCACCCCACAGACAAGTGCTCGTGACTATTTACAACCCGGGTCCAGCCAAGCAGGTCCAGCCAAGGAGGCTGTAGCCTGGGCAAGAGGGGGGATTTCATGCTGCTCAAGATATTATGCTGAGCTCTCGTACAGACCCAGGAGAATGCCCACACTACAGTAAAGCAAGATAGCGTCTGATGACAGGGCGGGCGCCTCACCGTTGGTGGACAGCAGCGAGTGCGCAGCGTTCTGCTGCGGGAGCCACTTGATCTTGTTGATCTTCTCCTCTATCTCCAAGCTCTTGAGATAGTCGAACTCTGGCTCATGGCTCTGGAAAGTGCTGTAGACGTCATACTCACCCTGGCTGTGGGGAGCATTTTTACTCTGCAAGGAGACCCCAGGGACAGAGCTGAGCTGCAGGACTGGCCAGGGCAGGGGAAGTGGACACAGGGAAGGGGCTGGGTGGTCAGAACCTCAGAGGAACTAGACATTGCCTTGCAATTGGCTGCCAAGGAGCACCAGTTGGTCCAATTCAAGGGCCAACGGAAACTACATTTTAAAGGGCTAATAATTTTCTGTGTGGCTGAGGCCACACCCCACCTTCTGGTCAGTTCAATCCAGACCAGTTCACATTTAACTGAGCACTTACTATGTGCTGGACGCTGAGCTAAGGGCTTCTCGGGCTGTCCCTCATATTCTCCAGGCTTCCTTTGTGGGAATGGGAGTACCAGGACAGCTCCCATCTTACTGATCAGCAAGTGGAGACTCAGGCAAGTGAACCTTCCAGAGCTTTGTATCCACTAGGGGCCGCCACTCACTCCACTGAGGTCACATGGCAATGATCACCCTCCTGTCTCAGGTGCCAACCTGTTCCTAGTGTCTGTGTGTCCAGCTAGGGCCTGAGTTGAGGGAAACTGTGCTTGGAGATTTCACACTGGGGTAGAACATCTTGCAGTGTCGGTCCTGGAGCAGAATTTCGTCCCTGACCCACCTTGGTGGCTCCTGTTCTGGTTCAGGCAGCAGAACTTAAACCACAGTGAAGAGGCTCCTGGTGGCGTTCCCCAAGTGAGGGCGCGGTAATGCCACGTGCACCAGAGGCCGTTTCCCAGTAGACAATTCAAGTTTATATGACATAAAACTGCAACCAGGGACAGATGAAGATAGTTGCCAAGCCACAACTTTGGGTATTTCTGTTCATTTTTTTAAAAGTGTCTTTTTAAAACCTTTAAAGTTCTTTGCAATAATTGCCTCCAATTCTCCTCATCTCCTGGGAGCACTGGTTATGACAAAAAGATCAGTGACATTAAAATGAAGAGAATCCAAAATGGAGCAGCTCACATCTGCCAATTTAGTTTCCCTCTGCAGTTTGGCAAGAGGAAGGCTTCACTAGCCCCAAGGGGGACACTCTGGTCTACCTTGTGAAATCCACATGGGCTGGCCAGTGATGCACTGGGTCACGGATGTTGGCCCTGGACTAGTCTGTGTCCCTGGTGAGCTCTTTCAGGCCCAAGATGCATCTGTCCCCATTTGGTGCCTGGGGGAAGGGAGCGCCGAGCTACACCAGCAAGCTGAGGGGAGGGTGGGGCGGACAAGGAGGTCAGCTTGGACCTTGCTCAGGAGGGCATGCGGGCAGCTCTCCGCCCCTCCCCCTTCCTGGCTTCAGGGTGTCCTCCCTCCCCTGCCAGCTCACGTCTCCATGGCTGGCCTGCTGTGCACCAGCTGGTCACTGGCCTGCTTGCTCATCTGTACAATGGGGGCTGATCCTTGCCCTGGAGGTGAGCAATAGAGTCAAAGAGGAGAGTGCCCCAAGACTCAGCCAGGCGTTTGCACATAGTAGGTGCTCAGTGAATGGGGGGCCTTTACCAAGCGTTTCAGAAGTGACTCCCAAGGCAGGTGTCCCAGGCCTCCTGTTTCATCCAGAATTCTGCTGACAACAAACGCCACCAGGCAGGGGCAGGGCAGGAAGGGAGGGGATCCTCCTCCCTGTCCTCTCTGGCCCAGGGCCCCAGGTCACCCAGGCAGAGCAAGGTCTAACCGGAGGCTTCAGCTGTTTTTCTGGGGTCTAGGACAGGGGCACAGCTCACAGGGTGCAGTCAACACACCGCCCAGCCAAAGGCGCAGTGGTCCACGTCCCACCTGCCCATTCCCATCCCCATCTTTCCCTGCGTCAGGGGCCCTGACCTCCAGACCCCACCCCGCCAGGCCCCGCCCACCGGCCAGCCTCTACCAGGCCCCGCCCCCTGTTGGCCCCACCCACCCACACACCTCCGGTTCCCTCTGGAAGATGACAACCCGGCCGCCCTTGTCGCCTGTGGCCAGCAGCTCCCCAGTGTGGTTGAACTCGACGGTGGAGATGATATCGGCTGGGGGAAGAGAACCAGGAGGGCGCACTCGTTAGAACGGGGTTCAGGCGCTGGACTAGCGCCCAGGGGACCTTAAGGAGCCAGACGTGGGGGAGCATGCGGAGGGCCCCTCCCGGCCTCCCCGGACTGCGGAGCCCTGTTTGGGGTGTAAATCCCTCTTGCCTCTTCCCTCCCTTCTGGTTTGCAGGTTTCCTCCTGTGCTGAGCGGTGTCCCCCTGCATGTGGGACACTCACTGAGCCTTGAGCTCACAGTCTCAGGGCTGGGTGACAGCTGGTGGTCACATTCTAGACTTGAGGTCAGCATGGGCCAAGACAGTGTCCTGCACAGGTCTCCACTGGACACCCTTGGAGAATGCAGGCCTTCAGGAAGCCACCCTGAGAGGATGGGGTGGGGGCGGGACTGGGGGACCCCAGTGGCCAGGCAAACTCCTAGAACCTGGGCAACTTCAGTGGAGACTGGAGGTGGCATCTAAAGGCACCTAGATGTGGCCCCCCTCCTGTCTTGAACCCCGGCCCCTGGACTCCAGCCACCTGGGCCCGGCCAGCCCTTCCCAGCATCTCCGTGGGCAGACACGACGCTCGCCTGCCAGGGGCCTGTGAGGACCGGCACCCAGTCAGGGTCGGGTGGATCTCCCTCCCGTCAGAGCCCAGCCCCCAGGCAGGCTTCTGGGGTCCTCCTGTCTGTGCCCGGAAGGCTGAGCCCAGCTCTGCTGGTCCTGGACGCTGCTCCTCCGGCTCTTCTTCCCACCCATGTTTCCTCAGGGATCCTGGGGACCTTCCTTACGGGACACACAGAGTCGCCCACTACCTGGAGCCTTCGGCCCCCAGGGCTGGCGCGACTGCACGGGCAGGCGTTTGAAGAGAACTGACAGCCCCACCCCCAGGTCCCACAGTTGGCACCTGGGAAGTACCAGGCCTCCCTGCCGTCCCCAGCATTCTCAGGGTCCAGTCAGAGATGAGCAGCCCGGATGTTCCAGGGGCCAGCCTGGGGGCCGGGGAAACTGGGGGGGGGATGACTGTGGCCTGGCAGAAGGACGCTTCCCTCCCAGGAGAGCTGGCCTGCACTACCGCTGTCCCCGGGCTCTGCCACCAACACGTTGATTCCACTCATGCCCGACCCCTGACGAGTGGAGGTGAGCCTATGAAACCCACATTTCAAGTATGTTTGAAAAACAGACTGTTCTAGAACATTCTCCCCATATGCCCAAGCAGAGAGCAGACCCCCCATGCACGGTGGCTCTGCCAGCTCTCCGTTCCTGACCTGGGCTCTAGGCACCGAGACCCCTGACCTGACTTTAGCCATCTGGACCTACTTTCAAACAAGCCCCAGGAGAGACGCCCTCCCTCCCACCCAGGCTGGATGTCAGCAGGCTGCCCGGCCCCATGTTCCCTCTCCTGACAGCAGCCAGGCGTCAATTCCTGGGACACAGCGTGTCTGCTCAGAGCCTGACCTCCGACCCTCCCACACCGTCCCCTCTGCCGCTTCCCGGTCTCAGGGACGGCAGCACCAGTGACGCTAACTCCCCGCAGCCTTGAAGTCACCAACTCCATCTCCCCCTGACGCAACATTACCCTGCTGCCAGGGCAACACACCCAGATGCCAGCCGCTTCCACCTCCACCTGATGCCACACACCTCCTGACCATCACCTCCGTGCCATCACCCGCTACAAGCCAGCTTCCATGGAGCACTGAGAGAGAGGCAGGCTGCCACCTCATGCCCCTGCTCAAAGGCCTCCTGTGGCCCCGTCTCAGAGTAACACAAGGGGTAGGGCTAGGGCTAGGGGTAGGGGTAGGGTTAGGGGTAGGAGGGCTGAAAGCCCCTGATGTGGAACACATCAGGAAGCCAAGCCTGTCTCTCCCGTGCCCCCATGGAACCTGGCAGTGCCCCCACTGGCCAGGCAACCTGCTCTCTGCCCCTGACTGAGTGTAGCTGTGATTTGCTTGGGGCTGCAGGACGTCAGCAGACACTGGAAAGGGCTTGGGCGCTAGAGTTGCCACCCTGCACCTCTGCCTTTGCCAGGAGAAGGGCCTGCCCAGAAGTCCACCCATCCCAGAGGAAGGAGGTACAAGCCAGTCTCTGGCCAGACGAGACCTGATGTTGGCCTCTGTAGATGTGAAATGAACGGCTTTACTTATTTATTTTGGGTACCGGGGATTGAACCCAGGGGTGCTCTACTACTGAGCCGCATCCTCAGTCCTTTCAATTTTTTTTATTTTGAGACAGAGTCTAAGTTGCTGAGGGTCTCCCTAAGTTGCTGAGGTTGGTCTTGAACTTGTGATCCTCCCGCCTCAGCCTCCAAGTTACTGGGATCACAGTCACGGTCCTGCATCTGGCTACATATTTACTTTATATGCAGCGATTTGGGGGTTTAGCTCAACCACAGATGACGACACCCGCCCCAGCCCCGGCCACTACTCCATCTCAGTTATCCCTCTCCTGACTCTGGGCTCCATCTCCAAAGCACAGCTCTCGGGCCTGCTGGTGGTGGCCCCTGAGTGTCAGCAGAGCTCCTTCCCTGTCTTTCAATTCTGCTCATCTGCTGCTTCTCGAGGGCCCAGCTTGGACCACCTTTGCTGAAATCGCCATCTGTATCCCAGAGCCCCTCTGGAGTAGCCCAACCCCCTTAGCCCAGACTGGCTTCTCCTACAGTGCTGTCCTGTCTGTGGGCTGTCTGTCTGTCAGCCTGAGCGCAAGGCCGCACGGGCAGCGGCTTGGGCTCCTTGATTGGCAATGGCACTTTGAAACTCAGTGTGGCATGTGGTGGGTCAGTCTAAGGTGTCATTCTATGTAGACCTCTGGGAAGCAGCTCCCGGCTGGCACTGCCCTCTGAGCCACCAATGCCAGCTTTGATGGTGACAGAAGAGAGGAAAGAGAAAAGCGAGCTGAGAAGCAGAAGGTGGTCGTGAAGACAGACGCATGACGATCTGTTAACACTTAAAACAAGGCCCAGAGGAAACACGCACCCGTCCCTTGAGCACGGTGCAGAATGTCCTGGCCCCTGATCCTATCCTTCAGAGAACTGTTGGCGGCCATGGAGCCCAGCCTCAGCCCAGTCCTGCCAGGCTCCCAGATGTGGGCTGGTTCTCACTGTTTCATATTAAAACCCCCCAAGGGGAAAGAACGAGATGTAAAATTGTATGTAAAATGTCTTTGATTATGTAGACCAGTGATCACAGCCAGTTTAGATAAGCAAACTAGCCGAGGGACCGCAGGAAGAAAACCTCCCAAAACGCCAACAGAGGTTCCTCTGTGGGGCTGAAATTAATTTTTCCTCCTCTTTCTACTTTTCTGTTTTACAGATTTTTTTTGTAATGAAGATACATTATTTTTAAAAAAAGGTTTATTGGGGTGTAATCAAAATGCAAAATCTGCACACATTTAATCTATGCAATTTGATGCGTTTGGACATATGAATAATGTATATTATTTTATGGTGGAAAATAACAGTGCTATTAAATTTAAATGCCAGTGTAACCTTGCTACCCAGAGTGAATGAGGGCCACAGAAGCTGGGTGGTTACCACAGTAACAGACACTAACGTCTGCAGGCGACTCACGATTCATATGTCATTTCATAACCACCGCCTCCTTCTCACGACACGCCAGCCCCCGGGGAGAGATTACTATTTCCACTTGGCAGCTGCAGACCCCCAGCTCCCTCGGCAAGCAGCGACCCCTGCGCTCTTCCTGTGTCAGGCAGAAACGTGGGTTGGACGCTGGGCTCCAGCCCCTGACTGTGTGGCTCTGGGGAGTCACACAGCTGCTCTGAGCCCTGGTTCCTCACCTGCAATATGCCTATTAGAGTCTTCCAGGGATTAGAGGCCCATGAGCCCGGCGGGGGGAGGGGGTGAGAGAGTCAGGAGAGAGGGAGAGCAGACCAGGACTCCAAGGGATGATGCGTTCAAATAATTTGCTGGACAGAAGTTTAAGGTCTTTGTCACCTCTGATTCTGCCTCTAGAGAATGTGCAGAGAGCAGCCCTGAGGTGTGTGAGCTAGATGGTGGCCCAGCCTCACCTTGCTAAGTCCCGCCACCAGCCCCTCTGGCCCCGCTCTGCAGGTAATGATGGGCGACCTCCCCTCACCCAGCCCAGCACTGCCTGCTCAGGCCCAGCAGGTGGCTGGGGGAGCTGCGCAGTGACCGGTTTTCACAGTGGCCATCTTCATGGTCTTTGGGGAAAGTGGCCTCCCCTGAGACTTGGAAGTTCCCATCCCCCTAACGAGGAAGTCAGGAGCTTTGGTGGCACCCCTAGACCTAGGCCATCCTCTCATCCTGAGAGCGCAGCCCATCTCAGCCCCACACCACCTCCTCCCAGAAGCCCCCGCCAGCCCTCCTCTCGCCATCCCAGTTCAGTGGCCTGGCCCACAGCTGCCTTCGGGCCCCTGGGTGCTCCTGCAGGGCGCGAGCACTCCCACCTGGAGGTGCTGTGTCACTGTGACCTCTAGTCTTGACCGCAGGGGGCCGCTCAGCGACTGGCCCACCAGGCTTGCTCCCTGCGCTGCCCCCAGGTCTCCCGCCCTAGCCCAGAAGCCCCACCAAGCAGCCCCCACAGATGTCAACCACAGGCCTTAAATGACCACAAACACCACCACCGATCAATCTGAAGGCTGGGATGGCCACCCAGAGCAGGTGGGCAGCCACTGAAGAAAAGCCCTACGCTGGGCCTGCTTCCCGCCTCCAGCCCCAGGACAAGCCCCAGCCAAGGCCACGCAACTGTGGAAACTCAAGACGGCCACCGTCTTCAGGCTTACACCAGACAACAGTGTGAGGACACCCCACCAGCTGCAAAAGGGAGAGAGAAGGTTCTGGAAAGATCTCTTGGGAGAAGGGATCCCCAAATGTAGCAGGTAAAGTCTGCCCATATCTCTAGCTGCCCCCAGATCATGCTCCAAACAGCTGCAGGCTCAGAGAAGTGATCGAGGTCCCCGGCACCGCCCACCAGCTGCCAGAGTGGACGCTTGATCTCGGGCACAGTGACCGTCTCCAAATACAACAGGATC